TTGGCCGAATCCCTTTGGGTGTTCGAAGGTGCCGTGTCTGAGATACCTAGTAGATACCTGGTTTGTGCGTATAAATATATATCTTTTTGTATATATAAAGATAAACGGTACTTATATCTCTATATAATCTCCTAGTATATTAATGTATCTCTTATATTAAGATTTTTCATTGGTTAATATCCTTGTTCGGTATAAAATCGGCACCTTCGAACACCCAAAGGGATGTGAAGGTGCGTTTTGTTGAAACGACCCCATTTTTCTACGAGATCTTTTGAGGGTGCCTCTTTAGGAACAAGGTAAGCTTCTATGCCTTACAAAGCCTTGCAGTATACGGAGTAGCTTTTAGCTATAATAAAAGTACCTACCTAGTAGGTAGCTTTTTATACTATTTCTTAGTGGAGCTAGATATCTTGAGATATGAGTTTGAGTCGCAGTCTGGTTCGGTGATGGGCCTTGGAGAGAGCTAGCTTGACCATAAACGCAAGCGTGCAATGATGACGGCGCTCCGTCCAGATTATCCCGATGTGGTGCTCTAGGGTCCGGTGCCAGGTTGCCCCTCATTGATTCCACCTTCCACCTGGTCTTCGCGTTGGACCAAGGTCGACGACAGGAACCATGGGCGCATTGTGGTCATCGTGGTGTGTCTTGGCATTTCCCTGTGAAACGCAGTGTTTCCTCCCCCAAACAATAGTTAGTAGAACATCGCGAAGGGCGAGGCGGCGCTGTTAGACTCGGCCTTGGTTAACTGGAGGGAGCGACGAGGACACGCGACCATCAGCCACAGTAAAAATTTTTCCTGCAATACGCAACACAATACCACCCACACAGCAGATGCGCACAATCTGGGTTGCTGGCTTGGCCCCAGATTGGTAGCAAACCAGGGGAGCCGAGTCTGGGCCCAAATGGGCAAACTATCCACAGCCTCGTGCTTTGACGCAAGGGCCAACCTCGCTGATTCGGCAGTCGGGTCTTGAGATGGCTAGCCTTGTGGGTTGTGTTGTGGTGTTGGAAGCAGAGTGTTTCGGGAAGCGTGGAAGAGTGGCGAACAGTTGGCTGGTTCTGAGGGACCGTGTGTGGATGACGATGACGGCAGAGACTGGGGTTCGAGACACGACACAGGCCGTCAAGAGCTGCCGAGGGACGAGAGGAAGAGAAAGCTTGGCCATTGAAGCCAAGACGGGGCGTTGTAAGGAGCATGGAGCACGAGGGACGGTCAACGGAGCTTGAAGTCTTGAGTATTGAGTATTGAGCATTATTGGGCACCGGGCATCATGGCAGTGACGGCAGGAGGCACCCAGGTCCAAGTCGTGGTACCCCGCTCTGCCCGCTCTGGACGGAGTAGGTGCAGAGTTCAAATCTTATTTCCCATTTTTGCGCAGCAGCTGACGGCGTGACCTGGCGACCTGGCGACTGCGGCGCGGGTGTTCAGCGCTGGCCATTAAAGTCCAAGTGCTGTGGCCAGCCAGGCGGGCTGAGACATCTGGACACCAGAGGCACACCACCGAAAAAAGGCACACCACCACGTCCCATTTCGATTTCTGCTTCACAACCTCCCCCATATCTGCCCCTCGTCTGCCCCCTGGTCTCGTCTCCGGAGAGCCGATTTGCCTTGTCTGCTCCCCTCTGACGACGACCTCTTTTTCTCTTCTTTTCCTGTCCTTGTCTTCCAATTCCCGGACACCTTTGCAGTAGCTCCTACGCTGCTGCCCGCACTCTGCAGCCATGGGTCAAACGCTCTCGGAGCCCGTCGTCGAAAAGGTTCGTTCCTCGCCGTTGCCGTGCGAAATACCAAATACCCTCGAATGCCTCGAAATATCCCCGGATTGCCTCTACGTCTACATGTCCAAGCATACTCGCACACTCGCATCCTGCTTGCGATTCCCGCGAAATGCCATGCGATCCTCTCTGGTCACGGCCTCAGCAGCCATTTTCCGGTGTCCCCTTCAGTCCTTATCACGTCTTCCGCGGCGAGCCTAGGGATCCATCACTGCATTCACGCAGCTCGCAACTCACCCCCCCACCAAGTCCTGTGTCCCTCACTCCAATCAACCTTGGAGGGGCATCGCGTTGTCGCATGTCCTGAACGATCATCACCCCGCTGCCCCTTTTGCTTGCCCGCAAAAACATGCTCTCTTTCTCTCTCTATATATATATACATATCACTCCGGTACATGTTGCTAATTTGTGGCCCTGTGCGGCCCTTCGCAGACTTCCGACAAGGGCGAGGATGACAGACTCGTCTACGGTGTCTCCGCTATGCAGGGCTGGCGTATCAGCATGGAGGACTCACATACCACCGTGCTGGATCTCGCCGCCGGCACCGACCTCGACCCCAAGATTCACTCTCCCAAACTCTCCTTTTTCGGCGTTTTCGACGGTCATGGCGGTAGTACGGTAGCGTTGTTTGCGGGCGAAAATATTCATAATATTATTCTTAAGCAGGATACTTTCAAGGCTGGCGATTATGCGCAGGGACTGAAGGACGGTTTCCTCGCCACCGACCGAGCCATCCTCAACGGTATGCGGCTTGCAATGATACAACATTGACCCTTTGCTCTGATCCGATGCTACATAACACGCTCTCCAATTTGTTATCTTGCTTTTTTCCACTCCCTCCTAGCAAACCTTAGCCTCCGGTAACACGCCTGCGTCACCATATCCTACCAACGCTAACATTGCCTCGCGATAACAGACCCCAAATATGAAGATGAAGTCTCTGGCTGCACTGCTTGTGTCAGTCTGATTGCAGGCAACAAGCTCTACGTTGTACGTCAAAACAGCCGCTATCCAGGCCAGGCGAATTTCGTGCAATCGACTAGCCTCCCTCTCTACGAAACAAATTTTAAAAAAATTGAAAAATTGAAAACCCCCGTATTTTTGCTAACCCAACATTCCGCAGGCCAACGCTGGTGATTCACGAGGTGTGTTGGGTATCAAAGGCCGGGCAAAGCCCATGTCTCAGGACCACAAGCCTCAACTTGAGAGTTCGTTTAACACCACCTTTACTTCTGAGTGTCCTACCGCGGCATTTACCCTATAGACGGAGATGTACTGGTGTCTGACTTCCACCTTTTTTCTCATTTAGACGAAAAGAACCGAATCACGGCCGCCGGTGGCTTCGTCGACTTTGGGCGTGTCAACGGCAACCTGGCTTTGTCACGCGCCATTGGTGACTTTGAATTCAAGAAGAGCGCCGAGCTGCCTCCGGAGCAGCAAATTGTTACCGCATTCCCGGACGTCGAAGAACACGAGCTCACGGACGAAGACGAATTTTTGGTCCTTGCTTGCGATGGTAAGTCACAAGCACGTTGGGAGTGGCGCCTCTATGGTCCAAAGGAAATTAGCATTGACAAAGTATCCTAGGTATCTGGGATTGCCAATCTTCGCAGGCTGTTGTCGAGTTTGTCAGACGTGGCATCGCCGCGAAGCAGGATCTGGATAAGATCTGCGAGAACATGATGGACAATTGCCTGGCTTCAAACTCGGAAACGGGCGGTGTCGGCTGCGATAACATGACCATGTCCATTATCGGGTTTCTCAATGGCAAGACCAAGGAGCAATGGTACGAGGAGATCGCCAAGCGCGTCGCAAACGGAGACGGCCCTTGCGCCCCCCCAGAATATGGTGCGCATAACCCTCCCCAATTCACGAGTATACAAAAATAGACCGGCCCCTGAGTGGACTTGGTGTATACCATTGGCCTCATCAAAAGCTTAAGCTGACAAATGTTCTTTTTACTCGTGTTAGCCGAGTTCCGTGGTCCTGGGGTCCACCACAACTACGAAGATAGTGACAGTGGCTATGAGATGGATGCAGAGAACAAGGGCAAAAGCTTCGGCGTTGGTGGGTACCGAGGCCGAATAATCTTTCTCGGCGATGGCACAGAGGTTCTCACCGATTCAGATGATACCGAATTGTTCGATAACGCCGACGAAGACAAAGACCTCGAGAGTCAAGTGTCTAAGAATAACTCGACGTCAAAAGATAAAGAAAACGCCCCGACCTCCACCGCTGACGCCGCAGCCGCCGAATCGAAACAAGAACCAGAAACCCAGTCAAAGTCTGGTAAAGAAATCGTCAAGGCTTCAGCGGCTGTATCCGAGCAGCAGGATGAGAAGAAGGAAGCCAAGCCCAAATCGACCTCTGACGAGAGTAAGAAGGAAGCCAAGTACGAATCGACCTCCGGCGAGAGTAAGAAGGAATAGGTCGTCCTTTCGCATTCAATTGGGGTAGACATCAGAGGATGGGTGTCGGGGAAGTGAAAGCACAAACAATACACACAAATGGGTCTCGCTTGGGCTGGCTTGCTTTTTGATATGTCTTATTCACACGAAGTCTCATTTTTTCTCTCTTCTTTTTCTCGAAGTCTAGTTCTTTTCACGCGCGCCTTTGTGTGAAGGAAATGGAAGGATAGGGGCGTGGGCGAAAGGGTGTGTGTATGTGGGTTGCATTCCTCCGAATTGACCAACCGGTTGGACGATTAGACATTTGTTTGATGTTTCTTTTGCTCCCTCCACGGAAGTAATGTTCGTCGTCATTACGGCTCAGTGTATTACCCGTTGTCGGATGCGTGAAATGGATGACAGACAGACAGGAGCTGCAGGCGAGACAGACAAAGACACGACAGAACTACCATTTCACAACTTTCTCTCCATTGTCTTCTCGTGCTGTTCACAACCTTGTCAGCTTTTGTTTGTCTCGTCACTTCACATGACTTGTCATCAGAACCGCCGTATCGACCAGAGCACGGGCGTTTTGGCGAGGGTAGTAAAGGAATCCAAAATTCTTGCACGGTTTGATTGGGGCTTCTATTATACAGCTTTTTAAGATCTCTATATATCCCATACGCAGTAGTGCTAGTCACTAGCAGCAAACGATAAAAGACGTCCCCCTAAATGAAAAGCTTGCACTGTCCATCTATAATGCTGGAGTGGGTATCAAAACACCTGTTTGTATATCGTACACGAATTTCTTCAATAATTAAAGCTTTCGGCTGTTCTCTATTCTCCGTTCAATTCATCCTTGATATCAGACCTTGCGTGTGTAGGAACATGCTGCGGCCGCGGCTTATTTTCAGGGTTTGAGTCTCGAAGCATTGTCTCCGGATCAAACGCCGTGTCTAGATGGACTATGATGGGGGGCTGTTGGCCAGACTCATCTCGCATTTTGACCGCGTAATCATGCGAGAGGACTTGTTCTGCACTTGCTTCCGGATCGGCAGCGAGGGCCGTTCGCAAAAGGGGTTGGTCCATGGTTCGCCACGTCGTGTCCAGCGCTGCGGCGAGGGACTTGACGGGTTTGTAGCTCCTACACGAGTGTAGGATGGCCCATTCGGCGCCCGCAACTATTGCGTGGTCGTTTGCTACCTTCTTCTCTGTCAACAGTCGGCCCATCTTGTTGGAAAATATCTTGACGGGAAAGCCGTCCAGAAGTCGCTTGAGCATGACGCCCTGCATGACCCTCCGTGGACCCTTTCGTAGCTTCCGGTAGAGAACGCCGTAGAAGAAGAGCACCCCGAGAGAAGAGTATGCCCTGGAGGACAACGCTAGCGACACGAGAGAAGTGTACGTCTGGGAGTTGGGCTCCCGTCCGTGCTGCAGCATGCGGGAAAGGGCCCATTGGGCAGTAGACCAGTCCCCTCTGCTGATACAGGATTTGATGATGACGTTGGACGTGCTTCTGATACCTATCTGGTGGCCATTGGAGGTGTAGCGGTCCAGGAGGGATTTGAAGGCTGAGAAATCGGGATGCGAACGGTCGTGAAACCAGAAGAATTCTTCAAGGATGCGGTTTACTGCTTCGAGTGTGTACCAATCTTCTCCGTAGCGCATGGCCTGGTCGGCAAGGAAGACGTCTAGGCTTTTACCGGCCTTGAAGGCCGCGAACGAGTCGTTGCTAGCCATAGTTTCAGCGATTCCTCTTCGCGTGGAGGGGTCTTCGAACAGACCATTCTCGTACATGGCGGCTATAACCTGTCGTCTCTCATCGTCTCGCTGGATGAGCTTGAGAAAATGGAGCCAGGTTCTGGCATTGGGGTAGAAGTATCGCTCTTCCATCTTTTGCAGGAGCTTGTGAAAGAAGGCGACGTCTTGCTTGGCGACGTATCCGCCAAGAATGACATTGAAGAGCTCGGTGTCCATGGGCAGGCCCCATCCCTCAGCGAGCGTGAAGAGTCGATCTGCGGATGCACGGTGGCCCCCTTTGTGGGCCATGAATCCTATCGCCATTTTCAAAACGGACGTGGTGATGCACTCTCTTGCTGCCGGGTCCTCGAACGCCTTTAAAATAAGTCCAATCCGAATGCCTTCTGTGTCAATGAGTTTGCCATTTTCTCGGGGTTGTCTGTAGTACTTCATGGCCAAATGCGGCCGTAGTCGCCCACACACAAGAGCCGTAATGTACGTCTCGAATGATTCCTTGGTCCACCGCCTTGGCTTCGGCGTCTGCTCGTACGGGAGGTCAATCCAATATGTCTGCAGTTCCCTATGCACCCATATATTGTCCCTGTTGCTCGGTGGGACTGACGACCCTACATCTTGGGCGCCCTCAATCGCCGGCCATAGCTGTTTGGCTTTGTAGTCCACCGTAGCTACATCCCCCAGCTTAAATATTTCTACATCTGGACAAGCCCTGATCAATTCGTCTGCTGCTTTCGCCAAGACGGCGCTTTCGCCTCTCAAGACAACAGCTGACGGATTCTGGTGATCTGCAGACATTCGCAGCTTGGTGGCCAGGCCCGTTGTCGCATCCAAGAACTCGATCCGCTTGTTTCCCACAGACATATCCCACGATGAGGGTAGCACTACTCTTACAGCCACCATGTTCGGAGTCTCGCTTCGTTTCGGCGTCATTCGTTTGAGCAAGTTGAATGTCTCGCTCCAGTCAGGTACCTTTCTGCCAAAGTGCTCCCAGATCATATCGAATCCCACTTGAACACGAGCCATCTTGCGTGTGAAGCCCTTACTTGCTCGGGTTGCTGCCACGGACGGATAGTCGCGAGCAGTTGGCACATAAGGTGAGTTTCGTTTCTTGTCCACGGCAACCTGTATTTGTGGTGATTGGTCCCTGAAAGCACCTCTCATGAAGGCGTTTCTCGCACGATTCGACTCCATCACCTCACCACGTGTTTTGATCGACTGTTCGATCTCAAATGTGGTAGGCAGAGCTTGGGAAGCAAGGGTCGCTAAATTCCCAGTCTTGTCCTTGTCCTGCTCAGCCACGTACTGTCGGCGACTTGTTGAGAAAGATGCTGACAGCAGAGATCTCCTGGAGGGCAGGCCGCATTTCCAAATGGGAAACGCTCCAGGTGAACCGATGCACCGGGACCCAGTCCGCCATATTGACTTGATCCCCAAGGACATTGGTCATGAGGCGTGCCGCATGGTGGTAAATAGTCTGGTGATTTGGAGACGTAGAGAAAACATGGAGAGCTCTCTAAACCGGGTTTGCAAGGGTCCACCACGTCACGTGCCAGGCTTCTGTGACGGAGCAGCTCAACAGAGGTGGTGGTGATACTGCAAGACCAACGACCATGGATATTTTGATTTTGACATCAAGTCTAAATCAAGGCTATAAAATTGGATTAAAAGACAGCATTGTGTAGTTGACACCGTTCTACTGCGTTGTGGAATTTGGTGATCACTACACCATAACTCTAACTATGCTCCAATTGCCGACATGACAAAGGGGGAGTTATAGGGTTAGGGTTGGTGTTTTCCATTATCCTGGTAAATGCGTCAGGTGATTGATTGTTGGGGTTCCAATGAGCAAAGCCTGACCATTTCACCACCAATGCCATCTGCCTAATACTCATAATAAAAATGCAGCCCGACGTAGAGTACAAGCCGCTCAAACCAGACAGCGGATTCCGTCTCATAACACTGCAACCATCCTCGGACTTTTCGAGCCCCATCAAGTGCGAGCTGCACAACGTCGAGCTTCACAACCACCCGTCCTTTGAAGCCTTGTCCTATGTCTGGGGCCAAACCACAGAAACGCGGCCAATTCAGGTCGGCCGCGGCATGTTCAACGCAACTAGAAACCTGGAGACTGCCCTCCGCCACCTCCGCCTACCAGACAGGCCACGCCAAATCTGGGCCGACGCCATCTGCATCGACCAGGCGAACCACGCAGAGAAGAGCAACCACATAGGCTACATGAGCCAGGTCTACCAACGATGCGCCACCGACCTCCTCTGGCTCGGCGAGGATGCCAAAATGCTGCAAGACGCAGCATCCTCCATGGCTCACTTCGGCTCCCTATTTCGCCTGGAGGACGAGCTGCGCCAGAGATGGCTAGACCTGAGCGACGAGCAGACGCAGACGCTGGAGCGCATGCAGGAGAACCTACGCCATCTCTTTGCAACGCCGGCCGTATGGAGACGGGTCTGGATCGTTCAGGAGGTAGCCTTTGCATCCAGCCTTCTTCTCGTGGCAGGGCATGCGACGCTGCCGTGGACGGTGGTGGAGGATTTCCTCGACGTGGACGTCTATATCGAGAGATACGGTGTCCCCGACGCCTTTCACGGCCCCTTCAGCCACGACATGAGCATCCGGTCCTGGGCAAGCGGAGCGATTGCCTACCCGCAAATCATGTGCCACCAGCGAAGAGTGGTGAGGGACGCGGTCCAGGCCAACGAGCCATCATCAATGTTGGATGTCCTCTCCCGATTTCGGTACACCGATGCCACTGATCCACGGGATAAGATATACGCCCTCCTAAGTCTCACGTCGAATAAACTCGACATCAAAGTAGACTACAGCCTCTCCACAAGGGCCATCTACATCGACTGCATGAAAAGGCTAATGGAGCACGATCGGAACCTTGACCTCTTGTGCCAGTCCGCCTGGCAGCTTTACGGCAACGACAGTCGCAGCAGCGACCTGCCATCGTGGACCATAGACTTTGCCAGCCCCGGCCAAACGAGCATACTCTTCGCGCAGAGGTCCATCTTCAACGCTGGCGGCGCCGAGGTGGACTTGCCGCTCGCCGTCTCAGAGGGCACGCTGCAGCTCGCGGGCTACGAAATCGATACCCTATCCCATGTCTCGAGATGTAGTCAGCAAAACCAGCACGCCGTGCCCTATCCCCCTGGCGCGAACCACTGCCTGCAATGGATGCCAGACGACCTCATCCTGGCGGCAATCCGCAACGGCAACTCCTCGCTGTCCTCGTTTCTCAAGACAAACCACCCGGATGCGAGTGCCTGCGACGTCCCTAACTTCCCAGCCTCGTTTGAAGCCTTCTGGCGCACCATGATGATGGACGTGAAACGCTACCCAATGGCTCGCCTCACGAGCGCCGACATCGAGGAGCTGGCGCCGCGGTTCACCAAATGGATCACCACGCCTCTAGATAGCAACAGAGACATCGACATCGACTTTAGAGTCCAAGACGCCGTGTTTGAGTGGTATACGTGGGATTTTGCCGTGACCAAGGGCGGGATCTACTGCAGGCTTCCGCACGGAGCCCAAGACGGCGACTGGATCACGGTGCTAAAGGGCGCAAAGGTACCGGTTGTTCTGAGGCCCGTCCCATCCGGAGATGGAGGTGCAAATGAAGCAAACAGTGACTTCCTATTCGTGGGCCCATGCTACGTCCACGGGTTCATGGATGGCCAGGTATTTGAAAAGAGCAGGGGGTTTGAAGAACGCACATTTTGCATCATCTAGCTCTCGATTTACATCCAAGTACGTCAGTGAATCTAGTGTTGACGCCTCGAGCAGTTAGTTGGTCAGAGCATACTGGCCAAATACCCGAGTAGCTATGAGACACCGGGCCAGACACAGCCGCGGAGAAAGGCCTTTGCCACCGGTTGATTACGCCGCGCCCGTAACCATGAAAAACGAGAAACAAGACAAAATGGCTCGGGAGACGGGCAGAAATGAGCACTGTCATTGCCCCGGCTGCAACGTAGTTACCAAGCCGCAGGTAAGAATTTGACCATGGCCCTGACCCTTTGATATTCGTGACATCCAGGGATTTCTTGCGATTTAAAAGGCCACATAGCACTTCCCAAGTAATCAATTCTTGAACGAAATGTATGATTTTCGAGATCAAGTTTACATACCAGAGCAGTATGCACGATATAAAACTGCCACATCTGCCAGTAGACACAATCCGTAAAACTGTAAATCTCACCATTTTATGATACTACATTGAAGTGGTGCAGCTGCCAATTATCAAAATCGAGAGCCGCCTTTAGCACATGGACCAACCATGTCAACCAGTTGGCACTTGCGTCCGTGAAGTGACAGCATCTTTGTCCATGAAGCATACTGTCAAAATGTAGAGCATGAATTTTATTAGTCTTTTGTATTTCATACACTTTGAGTATTGCAGTATCCTCAACACCTGCGGTTTCAACATGATGCGGTTCGTCGTATGCGATGCTCAACCCCAGAAACGGATGTGACGGTGAAAACTCCAGACTCCCTCTGCCTCCCAGTCCTGCAAAGAGCCGTCAGCACGGGAATGCCCTTTGGCCCGGATCCCATTTTAGAAAAATAGCAGAAAAAGAAACTATCGACGATGAGGGTATTAAGTATACAAAATAATCTATCCACAAAGAGATAGGATGGGGGATAAGAGTATGATATGATGTAACCCCCCTTCAATGGGATCTTCCGGATCCTGGCAACTCGCCCATATTCGGTGCATTTGGCCCGCTTCGATCCAAACCAGGACGTGCCTCATACCAACCCTGATCTTCATCGAGCGACAACCTCAGCTCCCCTCTCTCGGCCATCTTTTTGACGTCACTCCAGTAGGCCAGTTTGCTAACCTCCTCGTCTGCATGTTTGACGGCGGCCTCGAGCGCTTTCTTCCGCTCCTGGAGATTTTTGTTGTCCTTGTTGTCGTTTTCTTCCAGCTTGCGTGCCGTGTCATCGTATTTACGCATCAAATGGGTCAGAAGCTGTCGCCGTGATGCTTGAAAAACGAAAATCGACATGATTTCGTGCATCTCGTCTTGAAGTTGGCTGAGGTCCATTGCATGATCAAGGTAATTTTCGACGGCCTCTCTCTTCTCACGATCAATTCTCGATGACCGCAGAACCGATAGTAACGTTTCTATATTCTCAATCTCCTGGGCCTCTTCTACCTCCTTGATAGATGTGCGTGTTAGGCTGGACTTGCTGGGAACACGGCTGCTGGCCACGCTCGCCACAGATCGCCGATTGGTGCTGCGGGAAGACGCGGGTCGAATGGTGAAGTAGTCGGAGTTGAGCAGGTTGCCGGAGGAATTCAAATCTGCAGATCTTCTCCTTGCCCTTTTCCGGATCCAAACTCTCCTTCTAACGAACGAGTTCCACCAACTTGGTTCGTGCCAGGAGAACATTTTTGAAAACGCAAAGGAGTATTCCCAGCCGCCCTCGTCCACGCCTTCTTCATAGTTTATTCGCCACTCTGACCAAATCCACTCCCATGAGGGATCTGGAACCACCGCGTTGTAAATGTTGGTTAGTGACGGTTTATGGTAAGCATTGGCTTTTCTGCGGTCAGTATTTCCGGCTTCAGGATTGGCATGTGGCCAAAAGGCAACTTACTCCATGCAGGCGGATCAAGGCCACCGAGAGCTTTAGATGAAAATAGTGCTATACCACACATAAAACCCCCTCTTTCATTCTCGTACATGACGTCAATAGCAACTTCCCGAGTTTCGCGTGGCTGCTTGGGCATGATTCGATGCGTGGGATCGTGGAATATGTCTGGTGTCGCAGCTGCGTAGGTAGATGGTTAGTCCCCGGTGGTTGGAGTCCGTTATGTCGAGAGAGATATTTACCATGGACCTCAATTGATGGCTGGGTGGACGGCTGAGGAAGAGAATCCTCAGGACGGAGTCGATTGTCACTCTCCTCCGACACATCCACCACCACTACACTATTTTGCTGGTCATGGATGCGGTTTTTGTTTGCCTGGCTACCTTCAGCCCGGGTTGCCTCATCTTCTTGTCCGCTATCACCCGCTAGCGATATCAATCGAGATGTTGTTGAGCCCCTACGAGTATCAACATCCGATGTCAGCACGGTGTGTGAATCGTCATCCACCCCATCATGGTTGACCAGGCCAATCTCGTGGTCGTAATCGCCTGGTTTCAGACCCGCGACACGGCGAGAGCTCCGAACTTTCACCATTGCGCATCCAAGGTTGCGAGCATGACGGATCTAAGTGTACGCTGGTGAAGCGCCTACCAAATCCTTGGGTACGGATATGACGAAAGTATGAGGCTGGACAGTTGTTCGGCTGGGTACGAGTGAAGGTGTGGCGCCGCCCACTGTTGTGTAAGGGCTCGTCCGTACTGGTTGAACAAACGCAAAGAGATGCCGCCGCCGTGTTCGGATTGCGTCAGTGGAGTACTTGGTACGATTGCCAGTGGCAAGGGCTTGCGTCGTCGAATGTCTTCAGCGTCGGCCAAAATCGTCGCACAGAAATCCCAAGGAAAGGGAGAAGAGGTTAAAGACTTGAAAAATAAGACTGCGGCGTGAAGGAACAATGAGCAAACGGTGTTGGATTGATGTCAGCCCAGCAGTAGAGAAGGGAAACAAAGAGGTAAGAGAAGGGAAAAGAAAGGGAAGAAAGAAAGTGAAGCGGGAGGAGATTGAAAGCGTTTGAGAGCAGGAAGCAGGAAAGCTAAAATGCAACGGAGCAACGGTGGCCTGGGTTCGCGAGCCAAAACCAAAGACCAAGCACTGCGGGTTTCCAGCTTGCTGAGCCACAGTCTACTCCGTATCCTTGACGTGAAAGATGGTCGGATCAAAAAGACATGGAGCTTGGCGCGCAAACAAGCAAAAATAGCTCCATTAAGCTTGAAAGTGGAGATGTGAAGATTATTGTTTCAATGTTTGTTGGCAGGTGGGACTACGAGTCTGAATGCAGAGTGATGAAAGAAAACGGCAGGAGCAGTCTGGATTAAGGACAAAAAAGGGCACGGAAGCATCACGACAAATTCATGGTCATTATGGACTGATGATGCATGCACAGCTCTGCAAGGCCATTATTATTAGTTCCAGTCAGTAGCCATTTTCGGGAACACCGCCAGCAAAGGATAGTACCATTGAGCAGGGATTGCGCGGCTCATCCATGTCGAAGCGTGCTCCAAAAATCCAAGATGCAGGTCACCACCACTGTGGGCCGATGGTAAGGAGCAAGGCCGCCGGCAACTGGTGGGCAAAGACGGATGTCGCCATGATGTAAGGACTTGGGCGGCTGAGGTCAGATGCTGCCGTTTCATTCAAGCGCGAAAGAAGAGGCATTAGAGCATTTATTCAGCACCTTGGGGCCGTGCAGCGGCGACATAAACCTCTCACGGCACAACGGGGCCTGCCTAGCGGCACATGCAAGACTGGTCTGGTTATATTAATATGTATCAAGTGTGCAAAGGTGCAGATTATATAGCAGATTTATTTTCTTATAATATTTTTATATATTTTATTAAAAAAAAATAAGTATTTATTAATAATTAGCTTCTTATTAGCCTACATCCCGGTCCGCTACAGAAGCTGCACCTTCGCACACGGATCTGTAGGCGTCTTGCCTCATAAGCTATGTCATCGTCCTACTCGGTACGCCGATCCATATTCCCCAGGCCTTGTTGTCTTGCTGTGTCCTTCCCCCTGCACAACCCCCAGAGCCCAGAGCCAGATCCTACGTCATGACTGCCGTCCAGCCAATCACGACGGCCAAAAGCAACAGATGCGCCTAGCAACTCTAGAATCCAAGCTCAAGCTCGGCCGTCGCCGAAGTGCCATGGCCCATGATTCGATTGTGCTATCAACATTTGAGCTCAGCAGCAGACACATGGAACCATCATTCGGCATCTCACTGCAGTCGGGCCCCCGACATCGAGCCCCAAAGCCGCTGGTGCCGCCTCCCGCTCTCCGTTCTACAGTCGCTCATGCCGCCTCCAGCCGTTGAGTAACATTAAAGTGACTTCCTCCCACATTCCATCTCCATGCGCCTGCCCGCGCAAACACGCGTGCCCGGGTAGCTGCCCTCCATCATCCATGTCCTCCCCAAGTATATCTGTAGAAAGCTGCAGCTCGTAGGAACCAAAGCTGCTCCTCCCCTCCAGCTAAAACCGTCCCTCCTCCTCTCCAGCCACCCACCCTCGGTCCAAATCTCTGCCTTTTACTTCCACCTTCCCGCCTCATCGTGAGAAGCCTCAAATTCCGGTCCTTCCATCAGGCTATACACCTCGTCGCTCTCCTCACACACAATGTCCAAATCACGTATGCCTCTTATCCTCGGTCTCGGTGCCGCAGGCGGTGTCGGGTACTACCTATACAATGCAGGCGGCAGCCCCAAAGCCGCCGAGAACAAGTTTGAAAGTATGTTGGCTACCCCAAGCTACAATTGATGGCGCTGCTTCGACACGGCTCAGCTACGCTTTGGTGCGCGGTGCGCTGAGACCGCTGGGGTCTCTGGCACCACCAGCAGCAGCGCTTGTAACAAACGCATGACGAGACTAACACATTCCTCAGGTGATGTCCACAGCGCCGCCGCCAAGGTCAAGGACCGTCTGCCTGGTAGCAAGCCTGATGCTGAGAAGAAACTTGAGGGCTATGGAGCCGAGGCCGGTGCCAAGGTTGACAAGGCGGTATGTATTGTTCTCCCGCCTTCTACTTGTACGGCGCAAGAGTGCGACTGTGCGGCATGGTAAACTAACAAGATTGCAGTGGGCCGAAGCCGACAAAAAGGCTGAAAAAATCAAGAGCCAGACTGAATCCTACGTCAAGGACGCCAAGGCTGAGGCCATCAAGGCCGTCGACAAGTTTGACAAGACGGTCGAGGACGGTGCTGCCAAGGCCAAGAGTGGTATTTCGGGATGGTTTGGCGGTGGCAGCAAGTAGAGCCACGTCCGTCATACATATTAAGATGCGTTAGTCGGGCCAAGGCCCATGTAAAGGGGTTTCCGTTGTAACTAGTAAAGTTCATGACATTTTCAGGCTTCGAAATCTAGTAATTACTTCCACGTGCCACCCGTACAATCTGAGCTCGTCATGCTGCCATTGCGTTTCTCATCAGATAAACCGCCCACCTGTCCGTGGGCCTATCATCGTTCTAATGGCATTTCTCATTAGTAGTAACCTCAGTCTACTCACTTACACCTAATACCCGACGTGTTCACATAGGCAATATAATATAATAAATAATACAACCCCGATCATGACTCCAGCTCCTCTGCAACCAACTTCAAAATCTCCTCCACCCCTTTCCTGGCATTCCTAGGTTCCTTTGCCACCCTCTCCCAAACCTCCCCATGTCTGGGCTCGCTCAAAACACACTTGCTAGCCACCTCCGACCTCTTTTCCTCCGTGCCATGTTGACACAGGAACCGATAGTACCAGGCCCAGCTATCTCCAGAGTCACTATCCAGTACAAGAGCCTTTTCGAACCAATTTTGCGCCTTTTCCAGCTTTCGATCCGCCCAAAAGATCCTCGCCACGCCTACAAACAGCAACGGGTCATTGTCAACCTTTTTGATGGCTTCCAGACTACGCGGTTTGCGCTGCGTCCGCGGCTCAAGGTGCCAGATTTGCTCGACCCACAGCAGGCCGCTCTTGGGGATCTCCTGCTGCGCCTTTGCCATGATGGACTTGGCCTGCGACAGGTTTCCAGCCCGGCGCTCCAGGCGTACGGACTCGCACCACAGCTGAGGAGATTTGGGAACGGCCAGGCGGGCCCTGTCCAGGACGGAGCGGGCCTTGATGGTCATGCCGGACTTTTCTTCGAGGCGCGCGTACAAGAGCCAGAGGGGGACGGATTTGGGGACGACCTTTACGCCGGCTGCGTATGCCTCGCGCGCCTGGGCCGTCTTGCCGAGGTCCTCGTAGATCTGGCCCTTCAGCATCCAGAGCTTTGCGGCGGCGGGGAAGAGCTGGAGGGCCTGCAGGACGAGGTCGAGCGCCGTTTCGACCTGGCCCTGTACTCGTTCGAAGACGACGCTCTTCATCCAGACGCGGTCGGTGGGGGCCTGCTCTCGCGCGATTTCAAGCAGTTTGCGCGCCTGTTCTGCGTTGTCGTTCTCGGACTCGAGTTTGACGGCCGCCAGCCATATGTCTTCATTGTTGGGGTTCTTGTTGAATGCGCGCTTCAGGACGAGACGGGCGTTGTCGACCTCACCGGCTTGCCACTTCTCCTTGGCGAGCATCATCCACAGGTCCTCGCTCGTGGGGCACGCGTCCACGGCCTGCTCGAGGACTTCCCAGAGAGACTCCTTGGTGCCGTGGTTACGCTCCAGGTCAGCGGCCGCCATGCGCAGGGTCCTGCTGTTGTAGAAGATGCGGATGGCGTATGCGTAGATGGCTCTGGCGGTGTCGTACTTGCCGCGGTTGATGCTGGATCTCGCGTCCTCCATCCACGTATCCTTGCGGTCGTCGTCTTCGTCGAGACCCCAGCCCAGCGTGGCGTGGATGATGTTCTGGCAGGTGAGGATGGCGCCTTCATCCTCGCACTTCTCTGCCTCTGCGATCCATTCTTCCCGCTTGGGCATGGCGGATTCCTTGGCCAAGACTCTCACTGCCGTCGTCATGACGTTGCCCTTGCTCGCTTGTCCGAGCTGTTCCATTAGGCGTGCGGCGGCAATCCAAATCTCGTAGGACGTGGGCACCGCTTTTCGTGCTCTGTTGAGCACCTTTTGTGCGTTTTCGGGAGACTCGAGACGTGCTAGGGCGAGCCAGAGGTCGACTGATAATGGTATCAGTTCCGTAGCCTTTGCCAGCATCAGCTTGGCGTCGTCTTGGTTCTCCTCCAGGTTGACGGCTTCCTTCCAGAGGGCTTCTGATTCCGGGATGTGGTCCAACGCTTGACGGATGACTCTCTTCTTGTTGCTGGGTATGTTTTCCAGCCTCATGGCCTCCACCCACAGTCTCACAGACCGGTTGTTGGCCTCAATGGCTCTCCTGGCGATAACCTTGGCGTTTTGCGAGTCGTGATTAAGTCGAATGTTTTCCAGCCAAGCATCCTCGCTCTTTGGACACTTTTCGCAACCCTGATCAATCGTTTTTCTCGCCGCCACAATCTTGCCCGCCAACTCTTCCAATCGAGCTGCTGCTATCCAGCCAAGTGCGTTATTTGGATTCGTCTTGACCACTGACTGCAAAAGTTCTCGCACTCGGTTGATGTCTCCCACCTGAGCTTGGGCCTCATTCATCTGCATCTTGTTCAGGCTTGTGATGTAGCCTTGGGGATCGATGCTCGTGGAACTGCCATTCGAAGCATCGCCATTCGTTCGGGATGCCTGTTCCAATCTCGATTTAAGCACTCTATCGCGGGCAGCACCAATCTGCGCAAAGTTGGTCATAGTCCCGTCCGCCTTGTCCGTAGCGCTTGACGCGACACCATCATCGGTAACCGTGGTGCTCATCTCGGTAGAATCTCGCGCGGCAGCAAGCACACTATCTGGAACAGCGTAGAACCTCTGCCTCAAAGCCTGCTTGCTTCGCCGATTTTTACCCGTCAAGTCACCAACCTCGGGCAAATTCGCCCATTCTTCGTCCGTGACCGTCTCCAAGGCACGTTTCAAATCTGAAAATTGCTGTTGAATCTTGGGGTTCTTGCGCTCGTATTCCTCCTGTTCGGCTTGTTCTCGGGCCTCGCGCTGCTTTTTCCTTCTATCCATGCGCTCATCTACCCATTCCCATATGCGGTCGGCTTCTTCATCATCTTTGTCGTAGATGCCACCTGAAAACAGGCCAACTTCATTATCGGGATCCTGGAATCGCTCGTCATCGTCGTCGTCGTCGTCCTTCTTCTTGCCGTCAGGCGCAAGACCGAGTTGGGCAGCGCGCTTTGCAAGAGCCTCCTTGATTTGGTCTTCGCTGGGACCGTCGCGTGCTGGACCCAAGTCAGATCTCGTTGTGAAGCCCGTAGCACCACGACCGAGACCGGCGACGTAGTTCTCTGGCGCCTTTTGGTTGAGGAAATCGAGTTTGGACGCCATTGTATTCTCGTGCGCGTTCTGCGCGGGCAAAAGGGAAAATAAAATACAAAACGCTGCAAAAGATAAATTTGATGGATGAGTCTAGCTGCAGTGCAAGGAAAGCTGCCTGTCGTTCCAAGCATGTGGCAAAAGCATGGGCTATGTGAAAATAAGACCGGGTTTCTCTAGCCTCGCAGCCCAAATCTTCACATGGTCAGCCCTGTTTCGCACGCCAGGGCGCCTATATCGATAAGAACAGTCCCCAGAAAAAAGTTTCCTTGCAACACCAAATCGACACCTGCCCCTCCTCACCGCGAGATTCAACAGTGCCACCACCTTCACAATGGGCAAAGTCAAGCAGTCGAAGCGAAACGGCGCGCCTTCCAGCCCCTACGACCGACCATCCGGTGGCTCAAGCAATTCCGGCGCAAACTCCAAGAACAATGTCTTCAAGTTCAACACCAATTTCGGCCAGCACATTCTCAAAAACCCCGGTGTGTCCGACGCCATTGTCGAAAAGGCATATTTAAAACCCACGGACACCGTCTTGGAAATCGGTCCCGGAACTGGTAACTTGACAGTACGAATTTTGGAGCGTGCCAAAAAATGTATCTGCGTCGAGTTGGATCCTCGCATGGCGGCAGAAGTGACGAAGCGTGTGCAGGGGACGCCGGAGCAGAGGAAACTGGAGGTCATACTGGGCGATGTGATTAAGACGGAGTTGCCACAGTTCGATGTCTGCATTTCAAATACGCCATATCAGGTACGTAACCTGGCCTTCCAAACTCTCCTGCGAGGAGACTGGACATGAACAGCCGCGCTAAAAAAGTTCAAGATCTCAAGTCCCCTCGTCTTCAAACTTCTCGCCATGCCCAACCCCCCACGGACGTCCGTTCTCATGTTCCAGCGTGAATTTGCCCTCCGGCTAACCGCCCGGCCCGGCGAACCCTTGTACTCGCGCATCTCCGTCAACGCGCAGTTCTGGGCCAAAATCACGCACATCATGAAAGTCGGCAAGAACAACTTCCGCCCTCCACCGCAAGTCGAATCCTCCGTGGTGCGGATTGAACCAAAAGTCGGCAAAGACAGACCCAATGTAAGCTGGGACGAATGGGACGGCCTGCTACGCGTATGCTTTGTCAGGAAGAACAAGACCCTGCGGGCAAGTTGGCTAGGCACAAGGGAGGTATTGACCATGGTTGAGAAGAATTACCGGACGTGGTGTGCGATGAATGGCGTCGCTGTGGATGAGACCCTCGTGGAGGGTGATGACGCAGAAGAGGAAATGGACACGGATGCTGGTGCTGGTGCTGGCCTGGGTGCCGAGGAGGGCGATGGCATGGATGTGGATGACGACGATGCGCCAGATTTTTTCAAGCAGATGAACAGGTCGGCCGGCAGTGCGCCCAAGACCAAGAGTAAGCGCAAGAAGACAAAGGTGGCGGAGCTGGTTCGGGAAAAGATTCGCAAGGTGCTGGAGGATGTTACCGAGTTGGCTGACAAGCGAGCTGGCAAGTGCGATGAGAATGACTTTTTGCGTCTGTTGTTTGCATTCAACGAGGAGGGGATTCATTTTTCATGACGTGGTTTGATTTCATTTGGCCGTGGATACGGGAACGGCAACATGACACACATGACGGAGATTCGTGTCGATACGCATTTGCAAAACGAGGGCATGATTGGCGTTTCTGGTCAGGGCGAAGCAAAGACGTTTTCAAATAAACTGGGTATGATTAAGTTAATATAAGAAAAGGGCTAAATGATCAATCAAGACCAGCCGTACCAGACTACGGAACCGTAGCTAACCGCGCGATATACCAAGAACGCATCGCGATGCGTCAAACACACATAAGTTAGATCCCTTTAGGTGTTTGAAGGTGCCGATTGCGTACCAGGCCCGCTTTGCCTGAGATACCTAGTAAATACCTG